AGAAAATCAAAGAGAAACCTGAAGAACACTGCTATCCTTTGCCACTGTGTGACATCTAAAAGCCAGTGAAAAGCTGTGCTTTGCCAACTGAAACTAAAATCACAGAATCATGTATTCATTTAAATTGGGAAAGACCCCTGAGATCATTGAGTCCAAGCACTAATAAGCACTGCCAAGCCCAACTCCCAGCTCAACACCCAGCACACGGTGTTGACCACTAAACCACATCCCCAGGTGTCACATCCACACCCCTGAGGGCCAGTATTGGCTTTCCTATGACCCTGGCTGCTTGATCTCAGCCAAGTTAACAGCACCTGCGCCTTTGAGCCATGAGACAGCTACAGGAACAGGAGAGAAAGGTGGGTGTGCTTGTTTCTGTCCTGTAGAAAAGCAGCTTGCCCCAGGCTGTGACTACCAGCCAGTTTTGTGGCTGGCACTGGATGGCTCTGAAGGCTGCAGGAACATGGAGATGCTCCCATGGGCAGCATTATTTCCACAGCAGCAAGTTTCAGGAGGGACAGTGAGAGCCAAAGTTACAAATAACACAGTCAGCAGTGTTTGATCAGTTAATGAATGCCCATGATTCAAGGGGACTGATTCCACAACCCCAAAATCCTCTTCTGGCCTGGTATCCCCCTGATACTAATTGGCTCTACTTTGATAAAGACTTTAACTGCAAGTTAAACTCTTAGTAGTCTTCATCTACTGGAAGAAACAGTCATGTGGCTGTTTCTAATCCTGTACTGTGACTTGTAAAATCAGAAGAAAAGAAAGACGTTAAAAATATTGAGTAAAATCTAAAGCTGGAGCAGAACTGGCTTTTATCTGTTCATTCAAAACTGAATTCACTAGATACAGTAGTATTTCTTTGAATAGAAAAAAATAAGCCTCAAAGATTTTATAATGAATACCCCTTGCACACATTTGTACAATGCAGCCTATAAAAATGGGAATGAGAGATGTAGTTTCTAAACACAGACCACAGGACACTTTTCTCACAACTCCAATAACAAGGTATAATTTTCTATCTGATCCTATTTGGCTTTTCCATAAGGAACTGTAAAAACCTCTCTCAAAATCCTGGCACCAATGTGTGCAATAGGAATCCTAATGCTGCCTCTGCTGGAGCAGAATTTCCCTCTTCAAGAATAAAGCCTTGGGAGGAAAGAAATAGTGTGTTGGTTTTGTGGCTGAGCCAGCTATTTAACTCCACGAGCCAGCAGAAACAAAGGGAAACCAAATAAAACTACAAAGCTAGAAATGCTCCTTTTGGACAAATGAGCCAAAACTCTTTTGACACTTATGGCTCTACACATCCCTACCTGATAAGTCATACAGAAAGCTGCAACTGCAGATACCAGCAATCACGTAAATAAATTTTATTATGTTGTATGTACAATACTAGTACAGTTAGCTACACTAATCATGGGAGGAGGGGAGGTTGCTATTTTTTTCCTGTCCCATATGGTAATAATTTTGTATGATTGAACTGTTATGATCTAAATAAAAGTACACATTAGCTCTAAGATACATTGCAAATACATTAAATCTTCCCTGGAGTTTAGCAAATACGTGCTTTTTCTATCATGCATTTGGAATTAGTAAAGGAATCTACACTGGGCCATAGGATTTATAAATAGATTTGGCTTCCTCTGCAATACTTTATGGGCAATTATTTCAGAAATGAAGATGCAGAGCCATGGATAAATAAAATAATTGCAGCTGATCAGGCTTTATTTACTGCTATCACATTTCCCTGACTGCTACACTTCCCTCATTTGATCCACTAGCCTGAATCAATGACCAGATGAAGAGCTGTCAGTTAATGTCAAACACAGAGAAAAAAAGATGCCAAAGGCTGATTCTAATTTCCCCATTTCCAAATTCTGCCTGTGATTTTCTGGAGCTGGCTTGCTCCCTGGATAAATTCAGTGTGGAACTGGGAGGCCGGGAAAGGGCAGAGTCAGTCAGATGAGTTCTGCAGTGTGCTCAGCACTTTTCCAGGGAGCACATTTTGCTGTGGCTGCCCTGTAGAAGTCACTGCCAAAGGTCTGGAGAGCTCCCCTCCCATGAGCAGATGCCCAGCTGTGTCAGGGAAGGGCTGGCATGGCCTCTGCTGTCTGCTGCAATCCCACTCAAACAGGTATTAATTCAGTTTGGAAGACGCTGAGTACAGTGATGTGTGGCAAAAATAGTTTTCCAGGCAATTCCAGAGAATCAAATGCAAGCAGAGCCTGGGACTGGCCTCATGTCTACATAATACCCTTCATGTACCTCACACCATGCAGCTTTCAGTATTCAAGATCTCAGACAGGACAGGAAACTCTGGATTACCTTGGGATATTCCTTGGGATCAGGCTTGAAATCCTACACCTATCTAATAGTGTTACCTGGGCTTCATGAAGGAGATTACTTGTCTGAAGAGGCTTATCAAGTCATAAGGAAAAAAAAGTGTAATTCCTGCTGCATTGAAAGGCCACAGGGCTGATAACACAGAAACAAGTGGAATACATGGGATACACCAGGTGGAGACAACCTGACTACCCACTGACGACTTCCTTCAATGAACTCATCTCAGATGTAGCCACCAGGATGACATTTTATGGCTCTCAAATTAAACTACCTAGAAAAAAATTGTCTGCCAGCCCTGATGAGCAGAAATGTCCCTGAGCTACCTACAGCCTCCTGTCCTGGGAAGGAAGATCCAGCTTTGTGAGGCCTGGATAAAAAGGGTACCCTATAGAAAAGGGGAAGCACAAGAAACATCATGGCAGCTGTTAAGGGCTTCCATGTCGAGGATGTCTTAAGGATTGCCATGTCTGAAGGCTGTCAAGGGTCTTAAGAAGATCCTACAAACATAAGTCTCATAGATTTAAGGCCTGGGGGCTTTTTTGTGTGTGTGTGTGTTGTTTGGTTTTTTTTTAATTTTTATTTCATTCTAGGCTGCTTATTTCTGTATAAAGAAATTATTCTGCAAACCTCACCAAGAACTTCATCAACCACAGTCCATAAGGTGGAGAAAGAGGCCAGTGGGACCAGATGCCAAAGGAGGTAGGAAGATTTATGCTAGCTGAGCATCTGGCTCCCTGTTCCCTGTTATCAGAGTGAAGACAAATGCTTGCAAACAGCCTTATTCCAAAGCACTAATGCGTTCAGCCACACTCAGCACAACAGCAGCAGCGCTGCTCCTGGAAGGTGTGCTGCCTGGAAAAGCAGCTGCTGAATGCTTCTTCCACGGGTTTAGGCAGTACAAAGAGCAGTGAGAAAAGAGGGTGTTGCTGCCCCTCAAACCAAGCCAAGGGAATGATTAAGACATCATCTGTTATTGTTCCAGCGGGTGGTAGGAATTGCTCCTACACAGGAACGTGGCTACACCTCTATTGTCATCCATCATCTTGCTGAGGCTGTGCATTGTACAGTATTTCGATCTGACCTCATTAGCATTCCCAGAATTACAATGTCATACCAATGATAAAGGCTGAGATTATCTGCATCTGAGGGAATGCAGAAGGAGCACATCACACACTGAAAAGCCAACAGTGCAACCACGACTCTGCCAAATGCTCAAAGGCAGCCTGAATCCCCCTGGTTCTTGATTTTGCATGTGGGACAAGTCACGATTAGGAGTTGTGCCTATGTGCATCAAACCTGCAGATAAAGGGGACAGGCTCATGCACTGGTGATTAAACCCTCAGGGAGAGGAAGGACAGGTGCTGGAATAGATGCTGTCTGAGTTGCCAGTATTGTCTGTGCTTCCTCCAACCACTCCCAGGCAGCCAGTGATCCACTAGAAACGTGGAGAAATTTGTGTGCAATTTGGGAAATGACACAGAGGCATTTGGCCTTTGCACAGATGCCTTGTGCTCTCTGGAAGCTCATAGGATTTTCTTGTGATTCCCAGGATAGAGGCACATAGGGAGGGTCCCTGCTCAAACTTGGGTTGAAGGAAGGTCAGATCAATTTTTTGACCCTTGTGGCAGTCAAATAAAATCAAGTCAAATCTGTACTTGTCTGAAGTCAATCTACAGCAAAATCTGTAGTGAAAGAGGGAATCTGTCAGTCTCCAGCCAGCAGCTTCCCCCCTGAGCTGCACTCCCTGCTACAGCTCTAGCACAGTGCCAACACACATTCCAAACCATTCCCTGCTACTTTAGTCTTCCATGGACCATCTTAGAGGAAATGAACTGAACTTCCCTACAGTGGGAATGAAATAAGGAAATGAATTTATGATTCCAGTGGTACCCTTGACAAAGACACTGAATAGCTCCATTAAACTTTTCGCAGCCCCTAGTGTCTTTGCTAAACCCTCTACAATGAGCACAGAGTAATTTTCCTTCTTACAACATAAACATACAGGTCAGGATTCAAGAGCCTTTTTTGTACCTGAATAACTTCCCTCATCTCAATGGGATCCAGGCAGGCAGAAATCAAGGCTGCATAATCCTAGTTATTTCCTTTCTCTCCAGAGTCTTTCCCTTGCAGTACCACTCTTGGATAAACTCATTTTCACAGACTCAGCATAGACCTAACCAAATGACTAATACAACTCTTTAATACAAACAACAATAAATCAACTGATTAAATTCTAATTTATCAGACAAATACTCTTTAGCTCTTCCCAAAGCTGTGTTGAATCATCTCTCTTGTCTGGCCATGTTCCAGAGGAGCACTGACACTAGATAAAGCTCAGACCTGTGGAGTAAGTTTACATGAGATAGAAATGTTGAAAACATCCTGTATTTATGATGGGAGATTTCACAGAGATCAGAGTGAATAACATTCCTGAGAAGACTGCAATGTCTCTGAAGCCTCCTCAGCATCTCCTCATGTCCTCCCCTAGCAGGACAAGAGGTCAACAGACCCTGAAGGTTGAGGCTCAGCAGCAAGGCTCAGGAACCAGACACATTAACCTCGGGAGATCCTACAGCAAACCTTTAACAGCTTAGAAAATGGCCACTCCACCACAATTCCACTTTAAATCACAGACTTTTTTTACTTACTTCATTGGTTTAAACAATGCTTGTCCATAGTTCTGGAATGTCATGATCAGCTTCAGCTGGGTGCCTCCTGATTTCATTGCTGTGGGGGCAAAACACAAAACAGCTTTAAAATGAGACATGCAGATGTGCTTACACTCAGCTTCCTTGAAACCAAATCATATCTTTTTTTTCTGCATCAGTTCAGCACTGTGGTATCAGAGCATCAAGCAGGATGATGAACTGGACAACAGATTATTCAGCAGAGTACAGAGAAGGGCTTTGAGCTGCTGACCAGGACTAACATGGATTGTATTTCCTGACACTTTTTTGCCTTTTTCTGGCCACCATGGGCTCCACAAGCACCCCAGATAAGCAGCACCTATAGGAGCAGACCTCTGGAGTCTTGTTTTCTCCATCTCTCATTGCTCTTGGAGTCCCTTTTAACCAGGGGCTGACACTGGGGAAGGAGATGGGGGTGCTTTCAAAGGCAGCTGCAGCTGGGATGTACAGCCCAGTGCACAGCAGACAGCACCTTAATTAAAAGTATGAGCAGACACTGTAGCAATCTCTGATCTCTGCTGTGATTTTAATAACTGTTTCTGAGCAGTAGAGATATGTAAATTCACCTCCTCTGTGCACAATGGAGATGTATCCAAGCCCAGCTGTTAACTTCCAGGGATCCCGAGGTGGCTCATACATGAGAGCAGAGCTGTGCAGAGCAGTCTGGCTGAAGAGGACAGTGAAGGTGACAAGGACAGTGGCTCTGCTCATCTCCCAGCTGGGAGCTAATGCGAATTTAAGACCGATACTCACTCATACCATTCTGAAAAACTTGGACAATGTCACAGTAACAGCCAGGTTATAGTGGTTTTAAAATTAGGATTTTTTAAAATATACATATAAGAATTCATAAAAATGCATTTTACTTGATGACAAGGCTACTTAAAAAAATATACTTCAGAAAACAGCTGCTTTTCTGCTGCCTCAATCAAAAGCATCCTACTAAATGAAATGACCTATAGCCTGACTCCTGAATGCACCTCTGTGTTGGGAAGGCAGGCCATGGCCAGCAGGGCTGTGTGGATGAGTCAGTCTTTTAAAGATGCTTTCTAGGAATCATCAGATAATCAATCCCTCTCTTTGCAGTTCTGACAAAAGCCAAGTCAACTGGAGAACTACAAAATGTCAAGTTATCTTGCTCTGTAAATTCTGCCTGAGAGTTGCTCTTGTTCCACCTATACAGCTTGTACATGTTTTTTCTCTAACCAATGCCATTAGCTACACATCTTTTTAATTATCTCTGTGCCTTATCACTGATAGGTCATCATCTCTCTTTCAGCACTTGTAACCTATATTTTTGCAACAAAATGCTATGCAAATCTGGTCAGTGTAATTACAGTTCTCCTAGAATAAAATCCCTCCTGCCCTGCTGTTTTGCTGATCCCAGCCTTCTCTTGCCTTTCCATTTTATCCCAAAGGAACAAATAAATAATTAGAAATTAAAGGGCATTAAGCAATTTGCACTGACCAGGTAGAGCAGAAGCAGAGGGCTTTCCTGGATTAAACTCTCTCCCTTGTGCAGGACAGGTCATTTTATCTGCACCTGGGGGCAGGAGGAGCACAAGGCTTTTTCATGCCCAGCTCAGAGCCTGAGGACAATGAGAAGTAGAGAAGCTTCCAGTCCAAACCCTACCTGTGGTGCCCTGGGACCACTCTGGAAGCAGCCCTGGCCAGTGTGGACAGCTGGAGCTGCCCTTGCCCCATGGCCACAGGGCCACAGGGCCAGGCACAGGGCAGTCCCCACCACCTTCACTGCCCAGCCACCACCACAGGCCTGGGATTTCAAAGAAACATGATATCACAGAATGGTCTGGGTTGGAAGGGACCTTAAAGATCCACTAATCTAGCCCCCCTGCCATCACAGCAATGCAAAGAAGAAAAAAAATGAAGTTTCAGCACTCCCTTCTCTAAGCACAGGGTTTCAGATACTAAAAGGACTGGTTACTCAGCTAATTGAAGCCACACAGATAATGATTTTGTTAGCAGCCAAACTCAACAGCGAGGATGTCATCACCAAGCAGGGAAATGTATGAAGAAGATTAACAATTCAGAATAATTCTTCCATGAGACACAAAAGCCTGGTTTCTTGTCAGAAGGAACTGAGCTGAAGTAAGACAAAAGCATCTCCCTTGTGTTTTTAGATCCATCTTATTGTATTGCCTTAATTGGTTGCACCAGTAGCCTCACCCCAACACAAGTTTTGCTGGCACAAGTTGTTTCTCCACAGCTGCTGGGAGAAAACTTTGGAACTCTGAAAACCAGAGGGGGACACTGGTGGGAATTGTGTCCCATTGTGCTTCATGGCAGGGCAAGGTGGAACCCACATGGATCATGGAAAACAACCCAATGCCAGAGCTCCACCTTGGCTTTCCCCATTATCCAGACTCACATGCAGCTATTCCCACTTTGTCTCCTCCTCCAGTGCCACAGATGTGTTGGCCAGGCTGGGGGTGATGCAAGGCCACCCTCCAAATCCAGGCTGGCTAGAGCTCAACATTAATCCCCACAGAGATGGAGACACCTAAGCTTGGACTGTTCTTTTCAGCTCAACAAGACCTTGCTGTACCTGCAAGCAGCCTTGGAGCAGTCCAGGGTGCCCAAATTTTGGGAAGAGCAGATCTCACTGGAGATGATCCACTCTAGGTCAGACCATTTCCCCTGTAATAACTTAGCGTCACATCAGCACTCTGGCTCCCCTCTCACTTTCTGAGCTGTGCTCCTCCAGGAACTCCCTTTCCTGCTCAGCCTCAGTTAAACATGTCCCTCTGGCCATTGTGGCCTGTCATCTTCCAGGGGTTTGTCCCAAACAAACATCTGGAGACATCCTCACGCCTCCATCTGCTGCCCACAGGCGCATTCCTGAAGAATGCACAGCACATCCAGTGAACTGGAGGGTGCTGCCCCATTGCAATCTGTCACATCTGTGATCAGCAGCTTCAGGGACTTTTACAAAAGCCTTGCAACACAAGGCTGTGCTGACTCCAAAGGAACCACTAGTCACACTCTAAATTCAGCTTCTATTTTTTTGAAGTATTTTAATATACTGTGACCACAGGTCACAAACAGCTCTGTAAAGGCTTTATAAACCCGCTAGCTCACAGCAGGTGCTTCAAATCAAGTCTCACACAGCTCCTGGGTGTACTGGCACACTGCTAAAAACAAATCCCAATGTCATCATTACTTTTCATCTTCAGGCAATTCAAAGCCCCTCTTTTCCCTCCAAAGTAGAAGGAGATGGAAAGCAGCATTAACCTTTCCTGTTAACCCAGTGTAAGGGCTCTGGGGTGTGATCAGAAATCTTCCTAACTTCAGGAGGCTTTGCAAAAAATTCCCTGAGATATCTTTTTGCTTGAATGTTTGGGATTAGAGTCTTGTCCAAAGATTAGTGAAATTGGTGGGATTCCTTCTGTTTTTTCTGACAGACTTTGGATCAAGCCTGCAGAAATCCCCTCTGCACTCACATCCCTGAGCCTGCTGTCATGGCCACCTGCCACGTCTGCTACCTCCCCACCTTGTCACCTCACCAAAACCAGTCCTGAATCCCCACCCTGAGCCACAGACCCCAACCAACACAAAAGATGTCCCAGCTATCATCTCTCACTCATCTTTTCAAGTTGTGCAGGGTTCCTGGCGACCCTCTGGTACTGGCAGTGCTGCCCAGAGGGATTTGACCCAGAGGGATTTGGAATTCCAACTGGGCTGGCTTTCCAGCTCTTCTGTTTTGCTCCATGATAGCCCTGATCCTACCAGCCTGTCTAAACCATATGGTTTTCTGATGGAGAGAGAGACTCTCAACAGGATCTCTGAACTTTTTCTGGTTCTTTTGGTCATAATCCAACAAACATTTTAAAATGTACTTAATTATGCAGTGCTAGTGCCTGAGAAGTGAGATACAGACACAGCCTGGGATGCAGTTAACATCTGAAACAGAGGATGCTCAGATCCATTTTCGATTCCTATTTATAGATCAAGCTTAAATCTAACATAAACATGTTGATTGGCTCTAACACGTAATGCTCTGCCCCAGGCTGGGGACACAGCCCTGTAAAAGCTGTAAAAAACATATTTAAAAATAAATTCAAGCCCTCATCATCTCTTGGTTTGTCCTTGTTCAGCCAATTCTGCTAGGTTTTTTAAAGGACTTTTTGGCTTAGTCAAGAAAGTAAAAGATTTCTGCAGGGGAAGAGATCTGTGAAATTATTCTAAGGCTTTGTTGTACATTTTAAGTCCCCTCATTTCATCTGGAGCTGTACATTAAATCAATCTGTTGACTCTTGGCAGATTCATTGTTTCCTTGCGCAGTAAATCAAAGATGCAACATTTCATTGTTTTTCACAAGTTCTCAAAAGCACTTCTTCCTTTCCTTTGGATGAAATTTTCATGATTTTCTTTAGAGCCAGAATTTATGTTCAGCATTTAACATCTTGTCTTTCCCTTTTCTCTTTTCTTTCCTTGCCTTGAAGCAGAGTCCACCTCAGGTAATTGCATCTTTTATTCCCGGTGTGAGTAACCTCGCACACTCGCTTTCTAATCGCTGCCTGTACAAACTGAAGGCATCACAGATTCACAAATTACCTCAGCCAGGTAATGTTTCCAAGCCTTTACAACCAGAGAACTTAAAGAATCAAAAAAATAAGTCCCAGCTACTCAGAAGAATTACAAAATCTATTCTGTTTACAGGGAATCTCCCTGGACAGCAAGACCAAGCCCACAGTGCCCCTCCAACACACCATGCCAGAGCTGGTGTTAAACTGCTGATAGTGCTGCCACAATTATGCACAGACATCTTGTAAATATGCAAGAAAATAGCTAACTGTGGTTATTTATGCATGCAATAAGCATCTATGAAAGGCAAAGGAAATGTGCAATTGCCTGTGCATGTGCTTCTGAAAACCAGGCTTCAGTGCTCAGTGGAAAAACAATTCTCTCTAGGCTCCTATTTATGGCAAGAGGAAATTTTCAGTGAATTAAATCAAATTAAGAGCTATCCCTTTATGCTGAACAAAATGAATAGGAAATATGTATATATAGAGAGATGCAGGGCACAGAAACATCCTCAGCCCGAGCCTGGGTAACCCTGTCCTTTTCCAGGCCAGCTCTAGGTGTCACTGTGGGAGCTGGATGGGATGCTCCTTCCCATCCATGGATTTGTTCCATTTAAACTTCAACATCAAGAAAATGTCACCTTGGTGCTCCCTGCTCTTGGGAATTGCTTCTGTCACCGTTTTCATTTTAAAATACCACTGCACATTACAGAGTCATGTGAGCGGCTCTAGCAGATGTGGGGGATCAGTCTGGTCCCCACTCACCCACAAATAAATGCAGGGTGAGCAGAGAAATCACAGTGTGGCCAAGAATGCTGCTTTGCTGCAGTTTGGATCTAATTACTGTAGGTATCAGGCAAACCATCTAATTCTATTAGAGCCAAAGTAAATCTGAGCACTGGGAAGGAACTGGATAAAGCCATATCCCATTTCATCTAATGCACGTTACCGTGTATATTTAATTGTCCTGCTTGCTAAAAGAAGCCTGAAGACCAGGCATTATCAAGGTTCCAATTTATTTTATACTCTTAGCCTGACATCTTTTCAGCTGCCTTAAAAATAAAAAAAAGAGCAAAAAACCAACCCAGCAGAATTTGAGCATAAGGAAAAGAAACAAGGCTAATTAGAAGATAAGCAGGAATATGCAAAGAATGTAACAGCCCTATAAATGTCCTTTGGTCAAATATATTACTCTTTATTAATCAGCTTACATGCTTTTGAATCCCTCTGCTGCTCTGCAGTAAAGCTGAAAACTGGCAGGAATTACTTTAAAGCATGTATTTTTAAACATCCAAAGAATTTGCAACCTAAAATAAGAGAAGTTGCATTGTGCAAAAAATTATTTTTAAAAGTACATTAGCAATATGCTCTTTCTTTCTTTGCAAGCTGACAAAGCTCTTGAATCCCCACAGGGTCAGGCAGTGAATGCTAACACCAAAATTCAGACCCTGGCATCTCTATATTGGCAAAAGTCCCCTTCCATTTCTGTATACTTGATTTTAGACTGGGATTTATGTGTAGGAATCATTCCCTGTCAGTTCCCATAGTGGCCAACAACAACACCAAATACACCTCATGGTTTAATTTATGGAAATTATCCTGATTCATTGCTAGAAACCATGGCTCTGTGTTTTTGTTAGAGGCATAAGAGGCCCTGCCATGCTCTTAAGAGCCTTGTTCAAACATTAACAGAGACAATCCCAAAGGGAATCACTAATAGCAACCATAAATCTTCCTCTGTGGTCCCATGGCCCTTTCCCCCCATTGATCTGAAAGCTCTATCAAAACCAGAATTAATGGAAACCCCATGACACATCTGTATGACACATTAGGTGAAATCATGGCCCCGGGGAAGTAAGTGGCAAAAACTTCTACTTACGTCACCAGGGCCAGGATTTCACTCCCATTTTTTATGATAGTAATTTTTTTATGCTAGGCCAACTGAAGCAGAGAGAGGTGAAGCCACATGCCCAGAAGCACAAGTGAACACCAAGCCCAGAAGATCAAGTGAAGAGTGAGGGCTAGATTCCTATTTCTTGCTCCTGCCTCCCTTTTTCTCCCACCGGTTTCTATGTCCCCAATCCACCTCAGCCATCCCCCTGCTCTGCAGAAGGGACAGACATCATGGCTCGAGCACTCCTGAGTTTGCTGCTCTCCTCGTGTCTGAGCTCTGGAGTGTTGGGGAGGTGAGTAAAGATCAGCACTCAGCAGCCATGCAGTACAAACTGCTACAGCCACTGCACTTTGTGCAAACCTCAAGAGATGGGCAGGACGTGGCTCCATTGGGCATCACCTCTGCTCCTCTGGGGACAGCCTGGCCACTGCCTGGGCACTGCTGCTCTCTGTGGGGACAGGGATGGGCACAGACTGCATCTGTCCCTCCTCAGTGGATGTGCCCAAGGCACGAATTACAAAGTGCTGGCTCAATCCCCATTTGCATGTGCCACTAACATTCCAAAAATTGGTGGATATTGAGGGGCGAGGTCAGGAAAGGCAAGGGCTGTATCAGGGAGAAAATCACCCAGGTTGTGTCCATACAATGCCCTCATCACCCTCCAGTGCAAACCAGAGGAGTGTGGGCAGTCTGCTGCTACCTGCAGCATCACCTCTGAGCTGGGGAATGGAAAACACGTGGCTTAATGGGCAAACATGACCCCTTAATGACTCACCCTGATACAGACTTTTGGGAACAGGAAACCCATCACAGGTTAATAAACAAACCCATGTTTGTCATCTTTCCTGAGCTGCAAGTCCACTGGACCCTTGAGTCCAACATGTGGGACAGCACCTGGGTACCACAAACTGCTCTACACAAAATGCTGCTCCAGCAGAGCAGTGCACTGAGCACAGCCAATGCTCGGCAAGATTCACTGAGCTGAAGCTCTCCTGTGGCACCCTGCACTTTACACCTACTCCATCCCAAGCAGCTAAATCAGCCCACTCCTGATGACCAAGGATCTCCTTTATTCCTGCTCAGCAGCCGCTGTGATTCACACAATGGAAAATGTAAACCTTAGGGCTGCTTGAGCTATTCTTGCCCAGGCCATTTCCTGCTGAAGCCAGGGGAATTTTTGCCTTGCAGGGTTAAAGACCTGCTGACCTCATCCCACAGTGCCAACACACCATCAGCACTTTCACAGAGCTCCTGCTATTTCATCCCTCTGAAAGGGACGTCGCAACTTTGTGGTCAGCACAAGTAACTCCATTTTCTGCCTGGTGGATGGAAACCACTGCCTGTTCTGCAACTCCCTACCTCTGGAAACCACGGGGTGCACACTTGTTTAGCATCCCAGGGCTTTCACCTAAGCTTGTGACATTTCCTTCCCTGTGCAGCTACGCAGCTAAATTCAAGAAGACACACACTGCCCTGGAGAAAACATCCCTGGATGGAGAAAAGCCCCGAACAGTGGCACCTTGTTTAACCAGAGCCAAAGGCTGACACGGGCACATCCCTGGTGTGGATTTACAGGCAGAGTAAACAGAGCTGAGCTCTGGCTCAGGCTGGCTTGCCTGGAGCTCCCTGCCATGCCTGGGGAAGCTGCAGCTCCTGCAGCCGCAGGGCCCGCGGTGCCGGATGCTCCCGCAGCCACCGCAGCAGGGCTGCAGGGCAGCCTCTCCTTCCTTGGCAAGGCAGGCGCTGCCAGGCACAGCCTTTTAAATAATAATCAGCCAGTGATACAAATCTAGCTCGTGCAAGATGCTGTCTGCTTCCTGCCATCCCTTTTTTTGGTCAATGTCTTTATTTTAAATAACCAAAAAGGGCGCTTTCAGCCTGATTGTGACTAAAGGATCTCTGACACAAATGGGGTTTGCCTTGCTGGCAGACTTGGCAATTATTCAGGTAATACAGAGCTGGCAATATCTCGTTATATTTAGCAGGGAAAATGAGCAGGGAAGTCGGAAAGCAAAGTTGCAGAAAAGCTGGAGAGAAGCCATGCAAAATATTAATACTCAAACAACAGTGAGATCCTGAACAAAGTGCAAATAATGATAAAAAAATAACATATATCCAAACATACCAACACTGGTTATCTTTTGGGAGACAAGGTCTTGTAGTAAAGCCTCAATTGCAGGATTATGTCTGGAATACAACTCATACCGATTAATGCCAATGTGGAATTTTAACCAGTTTGGGTAGGAGTCTATGGAGGTTTCTCCAGTTGGCAAAAATTCTTCATGATGATCTTCATTTTGCCTACCACCAAAAAAGAAAAAAAAAAAAAAAAAGAACAAAACAACAAAAACCCAAAGTTGAGGAGAAAGAAATAATGTTACAGTTTGTAACACACGTCAAGAAACAGGGCTTCAAACTTTGACAACTTGGAAAGGGAAAGAGCTACAGAAGGGAGGGAGGTCCCAGGTTCCTCCCTGCACCAGAAGCCTTCTCCCATCTGGGACTAATGGGGAGATGGATTCTCACTTCCCCTCGTGCTGCCTGATTTAACACCCATGAAAGTCAGGAGCAAAACTCAGAGCGGCATCACTGAGCGTTGGCAGAGGCCCCTCTATGGTTGAATCACAGAGGTCAAGTTTTACCTTGTGTTTAGGTGGCTTTATGTTGTACACAGCTTTTACAGGTCTGACTCGAACAACAGCATCATCCTGAACCTTTATTTAACAGGGATGTGGGGCAGGAAACCAAGGCAGCAGAACCTGACCTGTGGTGCCCAATGTTCCCACACCCTCCTCCTTCTTAAAGAGGGAGAATGAGAGAAACTGCATCACTCTGAACTTGTTGCTAAAGAAGAACTGGTCCTGCCCCTTCCTGAGCAGTAGGAGCCTATTACAGCAAAGAATTAATTGAAATGATCACTGCCTTCTGAATTTCACTTTAGTTCTGTGAACTTTGGCTGCAGCCACTAAGGAAAATATGTACAACAGGCAGCTGCATTGTGGATATCAGTGCTGATTTCACTCTTCACCTACTGAACAGACTAACCCATATTTTTGATGCAGAGTTCTCTGTGTTTACAGACATCTCCAGATGTTTAAGCATTTGTGACATTTTTTTTTTTCCTTCTTCCTTTCAGGGAACCCAAAACTTTCCAGATTATTTCCCTTCACAATCAGTTAGGATTATTAGATGGAAGGGGCCTGGACAATTCACGTACTCATGGGGCGGAAATTGGAATTATTTATCCTCTCTTTCTAAAGGTTTAGATCATGCTGGCTGCTCTGCAGCTTGACAGAGCTTTTGCACGGTACAATGCAGCTGTTTAAACATTACAATGTCAGTGTGTTTGGAAGAGGGTGCTGTTGTATTAGACAACCCTTTTGATTTTTCAGTCATTGAATTTCTCAGCATTTCTTAGGAGCCAACAGGGCATACGATTCACAGAGGCAACTGACTGCTTTGAAGGCTGGAGAGCTGCGGAGGTGCAGGGCACTGGGAATTAATTGAGGATAAAAAATGTAGCACAGATCAGATCCTGAAAGCGGAAAAACCTGCCAGGATGAATGCTTTTATGGTACTAGACCTTGCTTTTGAGAAAAGTTATTGTATTACTGCCCGGCCTCACTGCTCAGCCCTTTCACCTCTGGGTGGGAGACAGGGAAGGTGCTGGAGAGGAAGGCTCGCTGTGAGCTCACGCTCTTCCTCACACCGTTCTTCTGGCAGCATCTTCCTCGGCTGCAGCTGGAGATGGGGCAGACCGACCCCTCGGTCTCAGCTCCAAGGGGAAGCTCCAAGGCTCCAGCCTTCCCGTGCTCCTGCGTTTATTCCGTATTTCAGGGCATTTATTTTCCGAAGGAACGCGACCGGGCGAGCCTGTGAACGGTTTCTCTTTTTCCCCGGTGACCCCGAAACGCTCGGCTCAAGCCCGTGCCCCACTTCCACCCAGCCACGACACCCTAAAGCCGCGCTACCCAGCGAAGGGCAGCGACCCGGGGGCCGCGCCACGTCCGCACCCCCCCGCGGCCACTCACCACTCGAGCTGCTCGGCCGCCCGCGGGTTGAACCTGATGTCGCTGTTGACATTGAAGAGGAGGTCCCCGTCGGCCAGCGGGGGCAGGGCGGCGCGGTACAGCGGGTGCTGGAAGAGCGCGGCCAGCGGGGCGGCGTTGCCGGCGGGGGGCGGCGGGCGCGGCGCCCCGGGGCCGATCAAGCGCCGCGCCCTCCCCGCCGCCCGCTCCGCCGCGCCCCCGCCGCCCGCCGCCCGCTCCGCCGCCCGCTCCGCCGCCTCCCGCGACTGCGACGAGAGGTTGGAGGCCGGCTCGGCGCTGAAGTCCTGCAGGATCCGCAGCGTGTGCTTGCTGGGCCAGCGCGGAGCGGCGGCGCGGGGCGGCGCGGCGGCGGGCGGCGGGCAGGAGCAGCCCGGGCGGCCCTCGGGGCCCCGGCGCTCCAGGCGCGGCAGCAGGTCGATCATGATGTGCATGGTGCAGGCGACGAGGAACACCATCAGGATCAGCACCCGGAACTTGCGGACCAGGAGCATTTTCATGGCCGGGGCGATGATGAATTAGCGGCGGAGGGGGAGGGAGGGGAGGCGGCGGACGGAGCCCGGGCGGGCGCGGGGCTGCCGGGCCCCCCCCGGGGCTCCGGCGTGCTCCTCTCGGGTCGGGAAGCGAGCGATCAAGTCAATAAAGTTACCTCCATAGGCGCCGAGAAATAAACAGGCTAAACCCGATAGGTCCTCATGTCTCAGTATCATCAAGAACTTGGGAGGGGGAGGGAAAAAAAAAAAATAAAAGGGGAAAAAATATTTAAAAAAAAATAAAAAGAAAAAGAGCTCCGGACCGAGCCTTTAAAATCAACAGGAAAACAATGCCAGCGGCATGGTAATATAGAAAGCCATCTGTTCACGATTTCTCCCTCTTTTTATTACAGGGATCACAACAAACGGGGAAAACTGGTTCTTGGAGAGAAACCGGCATCAGACACAGGCGCTGATTAAATAAAATTTAAAAAAAATTATGGGGAAGAGAACGGGGGAAGGAAAAATATTAAGAAAACCTGTGTGGAAAGGCGACAGAAGAAAAAAAATCATCCATAATATTTGGCTGTGCTGGAAACGCTGACTCCCTTCCCTTGGATTTGAGCAGTGATGCAGCAGAAGCGCTCCCCGCTCGCTCTTGTTCCCTCTCTTCTCTCAGACTCTTTAAGAACATTGGCTGGAAAATCATTTTCTTAGAGCGGTTCCAGTTTCTTCATCCATCGCGTCCAGTGCTTGGGAGAGATTAGTATGTTCAACTGAGATCGAGTCTGGGTGGCTGCTGTATCCGAGCTGGGCTTGTGCTTTGGCTTGGGTTGGTTTTTTTTGGCTGCAAAACTGTCTGATGGCACAACTGCAACATAAAGGTTAAATATGGCACAGGGGAAAAAAAAAAAAAAAAAGAGGGGGGAGAAGGAAGGATTAGAAGAAAGAAACTAATATTAATCAGTAGAGGTTCTTTTTAGCGAAGAGGTCTTTGATCTCTGCTGGGTCTTACAGATCTTTCTTTTAAAGAGAGAGAGAGAAAGGAAGAGAGAAGGGGGAGAGAAGGGAAAAGCGGGGAGAGATCTTTGGCAGGTGCAGAGTGAAAACCTCTTTCAGCTACACTGAATTCTGGAGACTGGTTGGACTAGTAGCTCTGCGGCTCCAGCTTTCAGTGGGTGTGTTAAATATTATGAGCGAGCCATGATTCCTGCCTTCCTCACGTCATAGTTAGGAGATTGGCTAAATAAACGCTACAGTGATAGTAACAGGAAAACCTCAACCAAAAGAGGTTTTTTTTCCCTCCTCTCCTCCCTCCTTCCCACCCCCCTTTTCATTCTACTGCAGCTCCAACTGGGGCAAGGAGAGGGCGTCTGTTCCACAAAGGTTTGGGGGAAAAAAAAAAAATACATAAAGGGAAAAAAAAAAAAAAAAAGAAGCGTCAGAGGAGAGAGGAATCTGCGCTCCCAGCATTGCGAAGCAGCAGCGCGGTGTGTGCCCGGGCTGGATCAGCGATCCTGCTCCGCCGCTGCCCGGGCTGCAAGCGGCGCTTTGCCCGCTGCCCTCGCCCCCGGCCCGGCAAGGTCAGCCCGGGGAGCCGCGGCTCCGCTTCCCCCGGGACCAGCCGTGCTCGCTAATCCGGGATCCCCCGGGCTGTGCTGAGCCGGGATGCTGCTGCCCTGGTCCTGCTGCCTTCCCCTCGCAGCGGGCTCCGGGGCTGGGTGGCCCGCTGGGCTGGTGGGAGCGGTGGCCTTGGGGCCAGCGCAGCCCGGAGAGCGCTGCTGGCGACTGGCTGAGAGCGAGGGCACTCTGGAGGAAGGAACGAGCTGTTCCTGGTTCTTCAGGTGATCGCGCAGGGGTGCTCAGAACTGGCAGAATCAGGCAGGAACTCAGATTTCTGTCTCTGGGCAGTTTCCCTGGATCCTTTGGTCCGTAGCAGGGCTCCAGCAGTTGTTGAGTTGGGCAGTAGGAGGAGTGAGAAAGGTAAAGTGCTTACTCTGACCCACCGCCACCTTCCCACAGAATCATCTCAATGCTGAATGGGGTGGTCCATTTTTTCCCTGCATTGAGTCACATTTCTTTTCCTCAAAAAGTCTTCCCCCACCCACCAGGTTCCATCCAGCACTGTTCCTTCTGGAACACTTCTGGAACACTTCTGGAACACTTCTGGAACACTGGCACTTCTGCAGAGCCCTGTCCCCTGCACTCCTCTGAAGCACATCCATTCAGTTTTACAGTGTCACCGTGTTTTGCACAAGGGAAATCACTGATTTTCCAGCAGGAAAAAAAAAAAAAGATTGATCAACGAAACCAAAACAAAACAGCCTAACAGGACCATGATCCTATGGACTGCTCTGTACCTTTGTGGAGAGACAAAACTTGCTGTCCTAAGGCAACCTTGTAGTCCCAGGGTTCAGAGGTACAGATGGATCCTTCAAGTACAGTGTACTTAGTCTCAGAAATACCTTTTGCTGCGGAGCCAGAAGCAAGGCTTTCTGTCTATTCCCACTTTTTTTTTTGCCAAGCTCAGCTTGGACAAATGCTGTCTGGACAGCTGATGGAGAAGAGCAGCAGAAGCCAGTGAGGGGTGCATGGTTCCCTGTATATCATTTATGTTACACTGTGCTGCGGTTTTTTAAGGAGTTCTGGGGGAGCTGTTTGTAGCACGTCAAGAGAGGATAGATAATATGACACATTATCTCCTTTAGCAAGGCACAATAGAATTTGTAGGTTGCAAATTTTAGCTACATGGAGGGGTTTTTTTTCTCCTTAGTGTTTGTCCTACTAAAGCTGAGGTCTGTGGTGTTAGATGGGGGTGAAACTGAACAGGTCTGAGGAGGAAGTTGCAAATCACTTAAGTGAGTTCTTTAACTTAAAGTTGTTTGAATTTAGTTTACAGTAAAAGAACATTGTGTCAAACTCCATGTGTAAGAGTTACATAATGAAAGGGAGACTGGCTTTGAAATATAATGCAAGCAACTAGATGCAGTTAATCGCATGACTTTCAAGAGGTGAAAATGACAATATTGTGAAAAAGTAACTAATTCCTTGAAACGACATGTTTTTGTTTTAAACAGTGTGACCTTTAGTGCATATTGGCTATTAAGTATGGTTTCATCTAAATTTTGTCTGCCTTTAAACTGAATCTCCCAGTCTTCCACAAGCTTTTTATTCCTTGAGCTTTTGAAATATTTGAGTTTTATCTAAGGATGTGAGATTGGTAGATGTACTATTTTCTCTTCTGTAACTGACCTTTGTGGGCAAGTTTTGCCTAGACCAAAGTGCCCCAGAGATGTGAATAAAAGAGAGCTGTCTCTGCATTTGTTTCTCAACTTCAGTATCCACAAATGCCTTTAGCCACTGACTGGTCATCTGTGAAATAAGATGCACAGGCCAGTTAGTGAACTCTGGCAGAGAGTGCTTGTAGCTTTGCTTCAGACTACAGGAAATGCATAATTCCTTGTTTCTTGAGTCTTTCTTCCTCTGTCCTGAAGGCTGGTTATGATCAGCACCAGCAGTGTGTCACAGCCCCTCGGTGCCTCTAAGCTGTGGTGATTGGTGAAGCCAAGAGAATGAAGCCAGATCTCAGCTGGCTCTTCCCAAGCCCCTCTGGGCTGTGGCCCATTACACAAGGAGGATACCAGCCTACCTCTTTTCCTTGGTCCTTTCCCATGAGTAAAAGCCCTGCTCTTGTCCTGGAGTCACTGTGCCTTGGGTGTGAGTGAAGGAGCCCTTCTCACCTCCCTAATTATCTGTTTGGGAGCACAAAATTAGTGCCAATCTCACATTTGCATTCCTTCTGGCCACCCCGTGGGGCTGGCAGGGAGCCTGGTGTTCTGGCCAGGGAGATGGGAACTGAAGGATCTGCTGGGTTGGAGGGCTGAGGTGGCCTGTGGTCAGGAAGCCACAGATTGTTGATGTGTGAAAACACTGGAAGAAGTCAGGAGCTGAGCTGCAGGTCAGGACAGCCTGGGAATTGGGTGGCAGCTGGCAGGCAGGCTCAGGGATGGGGTCTGAGGTATCCCAAGGCTGGTGCAGCTTCCCAAGACAACCTCATTGCTGGCCCTGGGCAAGGGGGAGCTTGGTGCAAGAGAGTTTGTGCTTGTGCTGGGATCTGTGGGTTGTGTGATCCACCCCTGCTAGGGAAGGGTTCCCTTTTGCTGCTGTAAGGGAGGAAATGGGGATTTTTGTCCAGCCAGCTGGATTTCAGCCCTACCTCCCTGTCCATGTACTGTGAGGCCCTGGCCCCTTCCCTTTCAGTGCAAGTGCAATGTTTGCATGCAAGTTACCTCCTCTGGCTCCAAACGTTTGCCTTCATGACTTGATAAAAATCTCAAAAATTTTGGTAACTGCTGACTATTGTTCAAGCAGGCTTTTAAGTACCAAATTTGTGTGCAGAGCCACAGTGTCTTTGTTATCATGCCCGATTTGGGCAGTTGTTAGAAGTAGAAGATAGTTTGTTATTTAACTTTCCAAGTTAACTTGTTCTTAGTAAGGAATATTTAAATATTTCTCCTTAACTAAACTTGATGCTTTCATAGGATATGTGGCAAAGAACTTTTTATTTCTGCTGTGCTGTGTGTTGGACCAGCATTAGCTCTATAATTCCTGGCATTATGTAAACAAGAAAATAATAAGTTCTTAATGGAATATTATGACATCAATAGGTTGTTGCATACAGCTCATTTCAATAATATAAATGAAATCAAGTCCCTTACATCAACTCTTTATTTTATTTTTGGTCATTTAATTAAAATCTTTCCTCTCTTCTATTGAAGTACTTGAATGTTATTTGGAATTTCACACTGGATTGCTACAATCACAATTGCAAGCCAGGATTGCCTTGGATCTAACAGGCTTTTTAATTTGGTATTACAAATTGGCACTCAGCACTTCTTTGCATGTTCTACCTTTGCTTTTGTTTAATAATACAATCAAGAATTCAGGAGGGGTTATTGTCGTATGTCCTGGCATTTCTTCATTGTTTTGTGCATGAATTAATAGCTTATCTGCTGCTGAAATCTGTG